TTTACCTTGTGAAGACAAGGAACAACTAACCTCAAGAAAAGCAGCCAAAAACAGTGAAAATTAGGGAGAAAATGGCTAAATAGGCTGGAAACAGCTGATCGCCGCGGTCGTGACGCGCCGCAGCCGCGTCGCGACCCTTTGGCCGCCTAATCAAGTGCCCGGATGACGACTGTAGCACAGATCGCTACAGTTGATATCGCCGCAATCAGTCGAGGCGGTGTTGGAATGGAACCACCGCGGTGTCTTCACCATTAGTCGTTTCCCTCTTGAATTGAGTACTAACGGATCACTGCTGGTAAAAAACGCAGCCTGGGAGCGGCTCATTCTTTCTGCCCCTCCTGACACCGCTCCGGCTAATTGTGACGGGATGAAGTATGTATGTCTCCTAGAGCCTTTGACGGCTGGTCAATCCAAGTAAGGCATGAACTAGCAACCTACGTTGTTCGGTGTATATCGGCTCCACGTTGAAGCAACGTCTCGACGACGGTCATTCGACCTTCACGGCACGCGTGATGAAACGGGGTCATACCAACTTGATTACAGGCTTCAAGATCAGCTCCTTCATCGAGGAGATAGGTTACCTGAAGAGGAGGTTGAGCTCATTCACGTAAAAAACATGCAATGTTTGTGCTTAGGACGACGAACCGAACCTGGACAATTTGCCAGCCAGCCTATCCCGGAAATACAGTCACTATCCCTGCAAACGAGAGGACGTTAGAGGGCGTGGATTGGAGAGCAGCCGAGGCAACCTTTTCCACCAATGACTACAACCTGAGCCAGCAACAGTTAGTGAAAAAGGCTGCTAGTTGCGTTCCAATCCACGCCCGCTCACAAGCTCACTCGTTTCCATGGATCATGACTCTTTCGATGAAAATTCGGTTCAAATTACGGTAACAGCCTATTGCAGATTTTTCTCGTTCACGCGCACTATACCCCCCCCCCCCGCCCAATCCCTTAACTGCACGAAAAAAAGTATGGGAATGACGGCCCTATAACTTTTTAGCCACCTCGTAGACGCTAGATTTGCTTACTCAAACAAACAACTTACCATAGCATTATTTCCGTTGAAAGCCGCTATTTGTAATGCAGTCACATGGTCGTCATCATACGAGTCGATGTTCACCCCCATTCGAAGCAGCTCACCCACCTAAAGAAAAGAAATCCGATCCCGAATTGAGCCCTGCTCTGGACATAGTCTGGATATTGCTCAATACAAAGGATGTGAACAACTTCCGAATTTTTCAAAGGCTTGACTTTTGGATTTCATTTTCATCTGTAGTTTTTGTGAGGAATACAATCAGGGCACGAATTGACGCTGGGGAGAATTATTGCAAAACGCGACCCCTCCTTTCCCCCAAGGCACGCCATCGTTGTTATGATCACAACGGGAGGGGGGGGGACTCGCCCTTGACCGACGAGGGAGGGAGGGAGGGGGTCGTATTTGGTCTGAGAAAATTTTTTTGGTAGTTGATTTCTCTTGTTTCACGGACGCTATAAAGGAGGGGAGGGTCGTATTTGGTCGTTGTTGGGAGAGGGACTGCCAAAGATCTATACAACTACTATTTCCGATAGTTGAAAATGATAGTTAAATTCTGATGACCTCCCCCCTCTACAGCAAAATTTTGGGGAGAAACCAGAAACGTTTCGGGAATTTCGGGAAAAACTGGTAGGAGGTTAGGGGGAATCTGAGAAATTTTCCTGTTTCACATTGGGTATATACCCTCCCCCCTCGCTCGACGGAAAATTCTTGGCTGAAAAACTGGAAATTTTTCGGGAAAAAGTGGTAGGAAGTTGGGAAAATCTAGGAAAGTGGTAGGTAGCATGGGAGGGGGGTCGTATTGAGGATGGAATTAGGGGAGGGGGATCGTGTTCGCGATGGCGTGCCCTGCTTTCCCCATCCTCGACGTGCTATCGCCTTGAATTATTCCAGGTTCCTACCGTTTTTATGGGGGTCACTCTTTTAAATTCCTCCACTTTTCCAAAAAAAACTGCTATCAGGTGGGCGGGGCAACAAACAGGATTCCCTCCCTCCAGCGACCGAATACGGCTGTCCTCGCTGGCGAGTCCCCAATGTACCCAATGTGATCAGGAGTATGAAATAAAGAAATTAAGAAAATTACCAAAAAACAAAGGGCAAATACAAAAACGCAAGAAACGACAAAGTATATTAGATGTAGAACAAAAAACTGCAATATTTCACGATCTCTGTTATACTCGAAATCCCTGAGATCGGGTAGGCGTGGCTGCGTACTTGATTTTAAAATGGCGGCGGCCCAGGTTTTCGTGAGATATTGTCATTTTGGAGCAGTCGTAATCATGTCTACATCTAACACAGAACAAGATAGCAGTTGTTTCAAATTGAAGTATCCCACGAGAAACCCGTCCTATGCCATGCTCAAAAGCCACGCCTACTCCGTCTCAGGGATAAAGAGTGTACCTTAGTGATGTTTCCCTCGTAGGCGGCGTTGAGCAACTCCATTTTCGGGATGTCCATCTCATCGTGCCAATCGACACCGGCACCGCCGCTCATTTTGCCTTCACACGGTCACTTCCACTCACTATTCCAGTCTGTCACTTCGACTATAGTACTTGCCCTGAAGATCCTGTATGAGAAAAAGGTTCGTAATTGGAAAGAAAGTCCGACGCAGTTGTGCCAAAGCTTGGCTGGAATTTCTGGTGCACTTCGGCCTCAGGGTGGAGAGGGGGGGGGGGGGGCATTTCGCATTGCTACTTCCCATCACTATGCCCATTGCTTTA